ACAGTAGCGCATGCTGAACTGTGAAATAAAACGGATGTAGAGTTCAAGTTTCCGTTAGTTGAAAGAGTGGTATTCGTGCTACATTTTGGCTATAAATATGTTGATATTACCTTACTTTTGACCTTTTACAGCAATTATAAACATGCACCTAAAGTCGCTTTTATCCTACAGCACTCTATTAGCGGTAGGTAACGCATATTATTCAACTGGCATATTTTTTGAATTTTTTATAATGAATTTTGCTCGTTTAAGTAAAAGCATAGCGTTATTGACAATGCTTTATAAATGAACAAGATCTCGCAATCAAAGAGATCTTTATTTTTACAATGCTTATTATTTTTTCAAATAAATAACAAAACAAATATTATACATTTAATATGTACATCAACATAATAAAATTTTAGAAAAGGCATAAAAAGAGGAAGAAAAGTCTATTTCAAAAATATAATGTGGTATTAAGAGGAAAAAATGAAAATAAAAGATGTAAAACACAACAGAGGTTGATTGTAAATTTCAAGAGTAACTTTAGAACGAATTCTTCATATACGAGAATGAAATAGGTTGAAAAAAGTTTTGTTCGCAATCTCGAAAGATAACAAATAAGTCTGTACAGATTAAGCAAGTTGAGAATTAACGAGAAAATATTTATCCTATCAGCTGACTAGAAAGGAAAATGTAGCAGATTTATTTTTAAAAATATATTATTATTATTATTGACTAGGATCTAATGTGCTATGTATGTTCTTCTGTTAAATTATCTGACGTTCTTCGAATTACATTATTTTCGGACTGTTGTTGAATGTCGGGATATTTTTTGTACGCATACCAAGATATAGCACAACATAGTGCGGATATAGAACGGAATCCAAAACCCAACAGAGCTAATGAAATAGCCATTTTCTTATTGTTATAATGTTTACATTCAAATTTGTCACCACATGTTTCTTTAATTCTCGTGATGCATGTATGATCGATAATTTTTCCAAACAGCAATGTCCCCGGCAGATAACCCAATGATTTAGTTAATGTTGATTTGAAACCCAATGAAAATGCCCGATGTTCAGGGTCAATACTATGTAATATACCTTTGAGTGCTGGTACAATAATACAACAACTCATGAAGACAACAATAAATGCCCCGCATAATGTCAATATTAAATTTAATGTACATTTTCGTTCTTTACAACGTCCAACAATCACTGTACCGTTTTGTGGCAAACAGTCACAATCGGCATATTTTCCTTTGAGAATCTTTCGACATCCTAGTATACACGGGTTTTGATACGTTGCTTTATTGACATGGTCACACACGGGTTGAAATATATTCATATCACAGTTACATTTTTTCTTACATTGAGTTTCTTCAACTTCCGGCAATAATAATGGACTATCGCCCGGTTCATCCGATGAAAATGCACTAGAAAATATTATTGTGGAATGATCTGTACCAATAGTTGGTTCACGGCAATGAAGTAATAATCCTACAAAGTAGAGAAAAGATGGCTATTTGAAATAGAGAATTTGATGTGTCTGTCCATACCTAAAAATATCACAGATGAAAATGTTAATATCAGGCAACAAAATTTTGCACATTTTCGACCGTCAAAATTATAGCGCTTGACCACGTAAGCTCCCAGCGGTGTGCCTAACACCACACTAAATAAACTAATGACACCCATATAGATGCTTGAATGTGATGATGTTGTACGAAACTGATATTCAATATGCTTGGATAAAAATGCTAGATAGCCTAAAACATGGAAAAGAAACGCTTTTTTAACTGTGACATATTTCAATTAAAAGTTTCAATCAACCTTTGATGAGTAGAGCTTCGATAACAGCACAAAATGTGATACCCATGTAACGTAAATTAGTTAATAATTGTTTAATAAGTACACAGATATCATAAAAACAATCTGTCGTTGGTGAAAATTTTGGTTGATGTAGTTGTTGTTCTTCAGCGATTGTACTCAATATCGACATATCACGAGTTTCAGATTCATTTTCAGAATGAATTTGTATATCTTGATCCTTCGTTGTTGTATTATTATGAAATGTGATAGGAATACGTTGGGATTGTTGAAGAGAGTTTATATCCGTATAAGAACTAGTCGTTGTTGGTGTATCTGGTAAAATTTTATGCCGAAGGTTTGAATTTTCATTTTCATTTTGATTCTTATACTTCTTTGTTGTTGATGGGAGTAAGCAATAGTCTACACGACGAATAGACACTGAACTCGATTGAGCACGTCCAGTATCAAAATAGAAGAGAAAGAATGACAATAAAAAACATATAACCGATGATAACATATACAATATCCACCATGCACTAAAATAGTCAGAAGTTTTATGAATGATTAACGCGATAGTAACAATGTGTACTAGCTAATTACCCAATCCATTCTGCATAGTGTGGTGTTAGCCACACCGGTTTGCGAATATTTGTATATACATTCAAAAATTGACTTGTGGCGAGAAATCCGAACCCAATGCCAATGCCACCAATCGCATAATAAGCTCCTTGTGCAAGAGGAGCGGTCTTACTTGAAAATAAATCTTCTATTAAAGACACAGCTAACGTACTGAAACAAAAAAAAAGAGAGAGATTAAATGTAATGAAGAGAAAAATGGAGAATATACTTACGGTAGAGCTGCTGATCCGCAAGCATTGATCACATTTGATAAATAAAAGACATATTTTAAATGCCTTAAAAACTGAAGATTATTTGATACATTGCATACATTCACTGTTCGATTAACTACACATAATGTTAAATGATCAGCAGCCCGTGTCTCAAATATTGGACGACCACGTTTTAATTCTAAGAAATGAGGTATAGACATGACCAAAAATCCAACTCCGAGTATGGACATTGATGAGGATATCCATCGAATTTTTCGACCTTTGTCACCAATGTACCCGACCAACGGATAGACAAATACACTCACAAGTTCGTAAACACTTTGAAAAAGACCAGTGTCAGTACTTGTCATATAAAAACCTTTTTCGATGGTCGTTATAATGGCATTATTCGCTCCACCAACGATTGCATTTTGTACCAACGTGCATGCACATAACAAACAAAAAATAGCTCGTGCTGAAAGACTGAAATTGGGTGAAGACGATGGTAAAGTAACATCCATTTCTCTTTCTATTAATTAATTTCTACATTATTGCTTGTTTCTGAGCGCATTATCTACAACATCATAAACGCAATCTATATATAAGCTAAGTTTATGAGTCAAATGTCGGATGAGATTAGTGTTATTCTATATTTCAGTATATTATCCTTCTTAAATGCTTATGACAAGTGTATTAATTCTGAAGTTACTGCTTTTTCAATCAATGCTTTCAGCAAAATTATTCTTCCTTTCTCTCAAGTAATATACAAAATTTTTAATCAATATGACATAAGAAAGGATAAACATAAGAAAGGACGAATGAGTTGAGGAAATTCTTGATATATTTTACCCTTCATTCGTATCGTCATGCATAATTATCAAAGAAGACACATAGTAGCAAACTGAAAAAGAAGTGATGATTAAGCGTCTGCCAATGCATTATTAGTGAAGAACTTATACGTACAAATTCCTTGCGCTGACAAAATGTTTACTATTTTTTAAATGACATTGACATTGTTGTTGTTGTTGTCAGCGTAATAATCTTGTTTACATAATGACGTTTTTAAGCTTATATGACAGATGCAGCATTTAATGTATACTTTTGTTTAATTGTCGATGTATGTAAATTATATACAATTAACACATACTTTTCTTGATCAAAAAAAATCTATAACCTTTAGCCGAAGGAAAAAAATGAGGAAAAGGTGAATGAAAGAACTTAATCCAATCAATGTACTACTAAGTACCGTTTCACAGTGAACGATATTGTTGACTACTCAATTCTCAAGAGGCCAGGTGTCATTTATGTATCTATGAAATGCAAATGTTTTGAGTACATTCTATGCCTATTTTATTTATCACCATCATGGGATTATAGATCAATAGTTGATTGTTTTCATGTGTCTACACAGATAGGATATGTATTCATTTATTCAAAGGTGTGCAGATCGATGCATAATCGACCTGAATGTTGAATTAGGTCGCGTTTACACACAAAAAAAATCTTTTTTTCTTGTAGACCATAACAATATAGCCATGTTTTTGATTAAATATGGGATAAATATCAAAATAGAGACACGAAGTCACATTCTTATTGATCTCTCCTACAATAGAAAAATCAAGATGCTGCTATATTGAAAGAAAATTTGCTTAGACGTAAATCGTGATCTTTGAAATTTAACTCCTTCAAGATTCGATTGTAAAATGTCATAATTAAACTATTCAATTAAACTAACCTTTTGTATACAGTTTCTAATTAAAAAACGTTTCATTCTGGATCTCTTTCAACTATTCTGATTCACGCAACTAAGACGTCCAAGAATCTTATGAGAAAGGCAAAAAGGAGAATTTGACTTTAGACGTAATTATTTTCATCCTTTCGTGCTTTCTCATTATACGTCATAAGAAACTCGAGACTAACTGTCTGATTAAAAAATAAATCTTTTTCAATTTTTCCATCAGATCGCTGATAAGGAAAATCCGCCAAGTGTCGAATCGTTTTTTCCTTGAAACATACATGGTTCTAGATAATTTTTGATACTGATCATGAATCTGATACTCATTTGGGTCCATATGGTCTTTTAGAGTGGAACTATGAATAATTGGTCTCTGAAGACCTATCGAAAAAAAAATCGAAATTTCTCTATCTTGGATTTAAAGAAGTGTCTTCAAAAACCAGTTATTTATAGATCCACTCTAAAAGATCATATAGACCCAAATGAGTATCAGAATCGAGATCAGCGTCAAAAATTACCTAGAATCATGTGTGTTTCAAGGGAAAAGTGATCAAACACTTAGCGAGGTTCCTTCGTGAGGGAAAAAAGTTTTTTATCTTGTAGCTCCAAACATTTTCTCACTAAATTTCCTTTTTTCAATCAAAACGCACACAAAAATTGGAATGGATTTCTCATTAAATCCTATACTTTTTTGCGAAATATATTCTTTTTCTTAATACAGTACTCATTATTTTGTGTACTTATTTTACAAAGATTAAAGGTTTAACTCTACGGGAAACAAGTATACGAAAATACATATACATTGGGATAGTAGAGAACAACCTTTGACATCATTGATACTTTTATTGTAATTATAAATAGACGTGTATCAAACGGATCAGATAGATCAGAAAAAGCAATGTACGAACTCATTTTATTTAACTTACTATTGTCTATTAACAATAGTCGAAAAGCTGACACAATAAAAAAATTCTGAATACTCGTTCAATTTACTACTACCGATCTCGAAATATAATGGTTGAATAGCATATAATAAAAATGAGAAAGAGATCTACAAGTTGCATCATTCGATAGAGGATGTCTCTTCATAACGTAAAATAAGTTTGAACAACTTTTTTCGAAGATACAAACGGTGTCTGATAATCCATTCAGATTTCTAAAATTTTAAACTGTAATATATTTGTTTTCTATTAGAGAAGATAGCACAAAGTATCTTCTAAAAATGAGAGTTGTCCGGGCTCTTCATCTATGATAATATTCCATATCTTGGGAACTCCAGAACTGGTGTGAGATGCTCTATGAGAATCTGAAATACAGCTAGAGCATTGGTTATCGATTGCGTTTAGTCTCGTGAATGTTTACTTTCATTAAAAATTTCAAAAACTTAGTATTTTTACTGAAACAACCCACTTTAGGCTGCTATTATGCAGAACTGAAAAATTCGTCACTCATCCAAACACGGTGTGAATCGTCTCAAAGACATCCTCTATCGAATGATGCAACTTGTAGATCTCTTTCTCATTTTTATCACATGTTATTCAACCACTTTATTTTGAAATAGACATCTATAAAACTACGTTCATTTCTTCTCCTAAAAAAGCTGTTATATACAACGTAAAATCCTATTCTGGGAGTAATGTTCGAAATTGTCAAGTTTTTCTACTGAATTGTTTATTCTATAGAGTCTGAAAACTATTTTAAAAAGGTTTTGAGCGTTACCCTACGGGGGGAAAATGTGAAAAATTCATTCCTGAATATATACGCACAAATACATAATCAGTACTCATTAGTCTACCTATCGTTTCCCTTAAACTAACCCACATTTTTCCATAGAGCGGACGGACATGTAGTTTTTTAGTTAAACAACAATTATTTTTGCATAATATTGCTTAATTATGCCTCAAATGTTAATATAATTAAAACAAGGCAAAGTCCAAAAAAGTTTTTTTCGATGAAAAATCGTTGAGCGAATATTTTTATTTGTAAAACTAACAAACTATACACCATTCGACGCAGTTTTATGCGTTGATTCTAAATATGTCGTTAGTTTTCAATAAAAGTGTTTCTAAGTCGAGGAAAATAGATTTTACTCGAAACACCAACGTGTTATGTCACGCGCCAGAGTCGTGCCATAAGAAAGAAGAGCATAGTTAAGGTTATTGCGCAAGAATATTCAAGGTTATTGAGTAGAGTATAGTCAAGACAATTGCGGAATATTGTGTGTATAAATAGATCGGATTTTATTGTTAAAGATAACTTTTTTGTTTATAAATAAACTATAGTCATACCGATCAAAAAAGACGGACCCTAACACAAGGTTTTTCGCAAAACACACACTCACCCAGTCCAGTGGAAAAACCGCATTCATGATGAATGTAGGGCATGACCAAGGACTTTTTAATATAATTTTGAATCAAATCCGACTTGCACAACCTCATTACATTTTAAGCACCTGTATGGAGCGAGGACTAGTTCGGTAATTAATTTATTTTCTCCTTGGATCCTAGAACCAAAGTGGAAAATTTTTTCATTAATAGATAGCTGAGTATGTCTAGATTCAGAATAGATACTGTTTACAAATATAAATCGCTTTAATAAAATTAAACAATGTTTTTTCTTTGAGATCGCTAATATTTAGGCTATTTTTTGCTTACATATTTTCCCTAAAACTGAACACTTGGTACAAAAGATTTTACACCATTAGATAGCCCATAGATCGAAATATGTGTGACACCATTTGAATCTTGAAAAAGCTCACTCTCAGTTGTTCACCTCTCAACGTTCGCCTGGATGGAAAGCCCTGAAATTTTTCACAAAAATACTACTTTTTGTAACCAATGGTGTCGAAAAACAACTTTTCGTGCTGTATGAAGTAACTATGACATATTGTTTTCTCCGTGATTGATGCGTCACTCTCAAATAAGATTTCTGATAATTATAAATGACTTACAGATATATAATTCTATGGAAGGATCGATTTCATTTATGTTTCATAGAAGCAGTACAGTTTAAAATATTTATAACATGTTGTTAAAGTTTAAAAGATCTGTATTACTGATCTAGCGAGTGCATCTATAAACTCGTTAAAATCTACTTCTTTTCTTCTTATTTCTATTAATAAATTAAGGATAGTAAAATTGTATCGCTATATTTTCGTTCTGTGATGTCATCAATGACTCCCTTCAATGAGTAGTGATAGAAATCCACATGAGGAAAAAATTCCTCTATTTTTCTTTTTCTTTCTACTACTATTTATACACGTTGTTCTTCTCCCTCAATAAGTACACTGTACAATCTAAACTAGGATGCTTTTTATTTTTGCGTTTATTCCGGCTGTTGTAAAAAAAAGAAAGAAACAACGATTCTATTCAGCCCTTCTATATTTTTTTGCTTTTTATTTCTTTTGTCCCATCGCGTTTAAGAAATATAAAAAGAAAAACGGAACATTGGGAAAGAAAAGAAGCGGATATAGTATTTATCAATCGTTTTTCCTTTTATTCCTTGTTCTTTATCGTATCGTGTACATCCATGGCCGTATTATTAGCTCTATTATGAATGAATATTGAACCTTTTCTCTCATCTTTGTTTCTAGCGTCTTCTATTCTTTATTTACCTTTCAGGAATTGGAAATAGCAAGAAGAAAAACTCTCATTTTCTTTCTCTCTCTCTCTCTCTTATATGACAACACTAAAACTTTTCAGAAAAACCCGAAAATGCAATGTTTGACGAAGATTAACTTCGGAAAAAGAGCATAACAACAATGTGAGGGAAGACAGTCCTCGATGGATGGATTAAATATTATTTTTTCATTACAATTCAACTTGCTTAAATTATCTCGTTATGCCGCATCATCATCCATTTTCTTGCATATTTTTTCTTTTTGAAGTGTTTTTCAGTCTTTGATTGATGAGTGGGAGTTAGCTAAAAGCGTCTAGATACACTTTTGATTTGTGCCCTAGAGCGCGGAAATGATGAGCAGAACAATAAACGAGTGATAGTCCTTTTTTTTATACATCCAGTAGATGGATATTATTCAGATATGACTTTGAAGTTCGATGGAAAAAGCAATGATCTATATATTAAAACTTGATTGTAGTTTCGCTCTAATAACAAAGAGAAATTATTGAAAGACAGCTCTCGTTATCTGAGCAACAAGCATATTTTATTGTATGGATCTGCTGCACATGTAAATGAGATGTTATATCATAGGCCAAATGATGTAGTAACTTCCTCGTACTCGAACACACTATATGTTGCTACTTTAATGTCAAAGTATCAAATAATGAAACTCATAGTTTTTTAACCATAACCATAACCATAACCTTAAACATATCAGTGTGAAGAAAAAAATAAAGTTCATTTGAAGTCGTGGAAAAGTGCTTTTTCGTATTCAGCACATTCGATAACCCAGAAGATTTTCTATTTTTGACAAGAAATATTTCCAAAAGTTTAGAAAAATTTTTTCAAACAAAATGCAAAAAATAATTTCTATGGGAAATTAATATTAGTTTCAAAATTTTTGTTATTAATTCTTAAACTTTTGACAATACGTCTCGCCAAAAATAGAAAATCTTCTGGGTTATCGAATGTGCTGGATACGAAAAAGCACTTTTTCGCGACTCTAAATGAACTTTATTTTTTTCTTCACGTTGATATGTTGATTTAATAACCTGCTTCTCTATGCATAATCAATGCTGTAGTGAGAACAGATTTAGACAAATAATTTTCAATCAAAACATATATCTCCTGTAATAATGTTGACTATAATCAGTAAAAACAAGAATCATAAATTAAACAGGTGAATAAATAAAAAGAGTAAAATTTATTATGTGGTGCTCTCACGATACGAAATGTATATACAGAAATTCCGTAATAAAACATGAGAAGCTTATATACTTTGTTAATTACATTTCAACATTGCCACACGATATTTTATATAGTAAAGACAGTAACGTTTTTGCATATTTTCCCATTATTATCATCGACTAAATAACAAAAATGTGGAATGATTAATTATCAGACTTTAAAACGGAATAAATAAATTGCATTTAGTAGGTGTTAAAGCATTATTTATGCGTTGCACACTTCATAATCATGAAATAATAAAAAACGAGTTTTACCTTAACTCACATACCTTTCAATTCTGTTTAAAATGATGTATCACTGGGTAATCAAGTACGGCACTCTGTACTATAGTATGCGCATATAATATACGACGGTATTAGAAAACAAATATCTTAGACATCTGTATTATACGAGCAAATGAAACATGCGTTAGTCTTATGGTCTAATTAAACAAACAAAGACATTTGCTGGCTAGATTTCATAAAAATCAGTTATTCGCTCGAAGAAAGGACTGTCATTACTTTATTATTATCGCTTGTTCGAAAAAATTTATTTCAAACATGTACAAAATAGAAAATAATCATAAATCTTAACTATGTGCAGCAGTACGCCAGATCGATTAAATCGTCGCGAATGATTATTTTTCATATGAAAACAGATAAAGCCAGATAAAACAATGCCAAAGTCACACAATAAACTGGATGTTTTGACATTTCTGAAATATAATATACTTCGTTAAAAATATCTGAATATCAATTTTTAGAGAAGCGTACAACTAAAATGCGCATGACAGCTCAAAGTTTCACTTTCAAACTGCAGCAATAAACTAATGGTTCACTAATCTTTTTATATCCAAATACGTTTTCAGGGTTTGTCAGGAAGTTTTCTGGAAGCCCTGAACAGCAATTACATTAATTAAAAAAATGATAGTTTCAGGAAAAAATGTCTACATGTACAAATATCTTCTATACGGCACACTGCGTATATACATGAGCATCGGATTCAGCTTTTTACGGACTTTAATGAGCTCAGAAGAATGAACTTATTGAAAGCAAAAAGTAATTTACATATTTCTCGAAATCATTTTTTCACTCAACAGCGAACATCGATTACAAGATTTCTCTGTTAAATTTAGTGCTCAAGAGCGGGCTGGCCTTAAATTACAGTTAACGGTCATATGTGAGAGCCAAATTTTCTATTTTTTATTGTGAAACTCTCTGAAACGAGGGGAATTCAATCAAGATATCTTTGTAATTCTTTTTCAAACCTAAAGGGGATAGCCGGATATTGAAAAACATCAAGCGAACAAAAACTGAATGAAATCCATCTTGTATGCAAAATACCGTGTACATTGAAATCGTGTAGAATCAGTGAAATAACGAAAATTAGACTAATTAAATATGATGTACTATAGAATATTGGTTTCCTTTTTCCCATATTTTTTGGTTCGTTAGATTTTTGTAATCAACCAAATGTTACCACTTTTTGGATAAATAAGTCAGTAATCGGCACACACAGTATCACAAAACGGACAAGCAGAACAAACAAAGCAGATCCATTGAAAGGACACTTTCCTTTTGTCGTTACGAATACTTTAAACGGGGAAATAATAGAGAAATCATTTCTAGGACTCACCAGACGATTTACTTCTCAATCCACCTGAAATTGAGGAACATTACTGAAAGTTAGCGAATGTCTAGATGCGTAAATTTTCACATACATGGCTTTGGAATATTTCTTGGATGGTCGCAACGTAATGTGAGCATGTTAAAACGTGATCCTCCGGGACAATCGTCTGATTTTGCTTTTCGTTGATCAATACACGTATACCAACTTATACAACCCGTGTCAACATCTGCATATTTGCCGTTTGCTTGACCATTACCTGAAATATCACAGCTTTTTCTCTGTGAGGAATCATTTTAATCTATCAGAAGCCATTGACTTACATGGATCTTTATACTTTTCATTTTCTGGCCGTTCACTACAAAATACTTTTCGATAATCATTGCATGTTTTCAAATCATCATCAAACAAGTTCTTTTCTGGACAACGGATTTTAACTGATATTCCTTCCTTGCAGTAAAAGTAAGCTACAATAGAAAATTGAACAATTTAGTGCACAAAGAATCGTTTGTATCTATCAACATACATCCACAATTTGATACATCAGCCATGTTTCCTTTGAACATACACAATTTGCCTTCTTCAATCGCCATTGAATCTCGTGTAGATGATGAAACTTTTCGCATAGTGGTTTTTGTTACCAACGTTGTTTTTTGATTTCGTTTAGTCGAGGCATGTCGCACAACCGTCGTAGTATCGCCTGCTGTTGTTTTAGTAACAATGGTCTTCACAGATTCTTCGTTTTGCCAGTTTTCTGGTGGAGTCCAATTTGGTCTTTCGCCAGCATTACACTCAATATTTTTTGATAGATCACAACGTTTATTATCAACATCATAGGTCATCCCTGATCCACACCAACCACCTACACTAATTCCACTATTACAAGTAAAATACCTTGAAACAAAGAAAAATTTAATAATACTTTCATGACTGCTTATTTGAAAAAATAATATAAATTTTAAATCCAAGCCGTGGAGCTCGTTAGGCTCAAGCCTTACTGAAGGTTTCGAACCGGATTTTTTACTCGTGTTATTCAAGTATTCTGAATACTTCCGTTTGAAATTAAATCTCCGCAGTATAAAAAATCTTAGACACTCAATTTTATTATAGTACAAAAGCTCTCGATGCTACTAAAAAATTAGTTTATATATAGTTGGATTTTGCTGTATTAGTGGCAACGCCACATAGTTATTCAAATCTTTCTGGTTTCTCCGATTGTTCAAAAAGACCTCATTATAAAAAGTTTTCCAGTAGCACGTTGCTAATGCCTAAACAGAATTTCTTCTATAGTGGATTCAGTAAATAAATTCATTCCCTTCAAAACTATCTCGTCTTTATACAGAAGTAAGTTTATGTCTCTCTTGAACAGAATTCGAAACAACTTCAGATAATCGAGGAACTACGACTAATTTTACGGGAAGCTCTAAAGACATCTGGTCAATGTACCTCAAGACACCGGAGAGAAACGAGCTTCACGCAAAAATAAAATAAAAACTTCTGCTCCTCGTCTTTTAAATGTCTTCCCTAGTGAAACTTCTTGTAACCAAGATCTTGAATTTTTGAATTTTTTCGGTAAGATCTTGATTCAAGATCTTGGTAAGAAAATATAAAAATTCAAGGAATTTCAAGAAATCAAGATCTTGAACATCTTGTAATTTCTTGACTTCTTGTACCAAGACCTTGGAAATTCTTGAATCATCGGTTTGTTTTACACTCTTGTGTAAATATAACTGCGAATATTTTCACACTTAGAATAACTTAGAATTTTTTTCCTTCTTGACCATAGTTGTTTAAGGAAGAATCTATGACTCTCTATGATCGTATATCCAATGGGTACGACTGTCATAAATAAAAACAAAATGTAAGGAAAATTTATCACTCTCGTTCTTGCGACATCTTGAGTGACTTCACTCAAGATCTTGAAACTTCTTAACTCAAGATCTTGAGTGACGGATTCTAGAATCCAAGATCTTGAAACATCTGCTTACTCCACTCAAGATCTTGAAATTTCTTAACCCAAGATCGTGACTTCTTGGCGTTTTTTCCAAGATCTTGGGTATAAGAAATTTCACTAGGTTCTGCTTTGATTTTTCTTTTTGACAGTAAACGGAAATTTGTTCAAAACTTTGACCTGCATTTTTTCTGTATAGAAACCTATCGTAAAAAATTATCGATGTGAGTATGTATGAACTCGATAAGGAATGCGAATGAAAAGCCTCACTACCTTTCAAGACCATATTCTGATCCATTTCAACGAACTGAACATATATATTATTACTATGTTTATTTACTTTTCACAATCCTTGGGATCTGGCCATCTTCCATCTGTAGGACATATAAATTCACTCGATGATTTTCCATTGGCAAATGAATAAACTGGAATTAGAAGAATGATTACAATATAGAACTCGTAACGTTTTGCAGACTTTGTCTAGTGTAAGATATACAACATAAGGAATGCTGGTACGTAGGGCACTAAAAAAGTTTTTTCGCCCGGTTCTCCTAAAAACCGTAATTTGAATGCAATTATTCTATTATAATGCTTAGTCATATTCAGGATTACGTGCAAAATTTCAAACTTAAAAGTCTTATGCGTCATTGTATTTTTGCATTTCTTTCAGATTAAATATATAACATTTTTACATGACTTTTGAATTCTCACGTGAACAGTTTCGAACTATGATTTTATATGGCTGAAAAATTCGCTTAACGGATGAAAAAAGTCATGTCCCTTTGGTGCAAGCATGGGGAGACCAAGCACCTTCTGATCGTACAGTTCTCAACTGATATCATGAATTTTAACACAGTAATTTCAGTATCGAAGATGCTCCTTGTTCAGGCCGTCCTAGAAGTGCTGTCAACGAAGAATCAATCGATGCTCTCCGAGCAATAACTGAAGATGATCCTCGTTCAACGTACGAACAGATTGAAGACACCCTGGGCATTACTTCGCCATCGATCAATTTAATTATTCATGATTATTTGAAGTTGCACAAAGTTTGTGCCCGATGGGTACCTCATCAACTCACCGATGACCAAATGTACCGACGACCCGATATTTCGTATTCAATTTTGTCGTGATTCACTGGAGGGATTTGAAGGAGATCAATTCCGTCATGTATTTGACCTTATAACTGGTGACGAATCATGGCTTTATCATTACGCTCCAATAACAAAAGAGCAATCAACAGTTTGGATTTCACAAACAAATCCACGACCAACCAAAGTTCATCGCTACAAAAGTTCCGGCAAACGAATGGTGGCTACTTTCTTCATAAAATCTGGTTTAATCAAGTCCATACCATTAGAACGTGGTAAAACGATAACTGCAAGATGGTATGTCAATAGCTGCCTGCCACAAATCTTTGAAACAGTTTCAGAATGGAGACAAAAGACCGGTCTTCGAGGTCTCATTTTGCATGACGACAATGCGAGACCACATAGAGTCAGAGTTATCAGCGAATTTTTCGCAGAAAATCGTGTTGAACCATGTCGAAATCAACTATATTCTACAGATCTAAGTCTGTGTGACTTCTTTTCCTTTCCAAAACTCAAAAATCAACTACGTGGAATTCAGTTCGAAGGCGGTAATGCTTTAGAACAAGCCATTGACAGTCTCATAAAAGATGATTTCAAACGCTGCTTCGACGACTGATTTACTCGAATGCACAAGTACATTAGTGCTGACGGACAGTACTTCGAAAAATTACAGTAGAGCCAGTCTTATAATATTTGTCTAAAGACGAAAAAACTTTTTTAGTGCCCCTTGTATATTCTATCTCATCTGCTACAAATTGATATGCACAGATCCTAGAATGATTACTTTGAAAAGCAGTGTATTTATTACTCACCATTAATCAATAATAAAATTTCAAGAACTAGAAGAGAAGAAAAAAATTCCATTTTGATCCATTTTTCATCCATTCAATTAATACAAAACGTTTTCTCCCTTCTCTTCAATCTGTTTGAGCAAAGTGTCAAATTTATAAAATCATTTTTCTTTCTCATATAACTGTACAAACAAACGGTGGATAGATAGGAAGTGACACGAATGTTCACCAAGCCAGACAAATGTTTCGGTGAACACTTTTTTTCGTTCTATCTTCTTTTGTCATTTTGTGTAAACATTCACTCTTTACGGAAACAAAAGACGTGTAATCATTGTTTACAAAGAAGATCTAAATCAAGTATAATAAAGATGACTATAAAAATATTTTTAGTGAGCAGGAAATGTTTATAAATTTGTAAATGAAGGAGGAAGAGGAGGAGTAAGGAGGAGGTTAATTTCATAAATATTTTATCGGTAAAAGGGAGTTCCGTGTTCAAATATATGTCCAATGATTAATTTCGGACTCAGTTGAAAGTTAAACGTTGGATATTCAAAGGAGGATGTTGGAGAACCGGTTAATATAAATAATTCCGATATTTTTCCCATTGAACGCGTATAGCTCTTATGGAACTTTTGTGCTGTGAGAATCACAGTTAGGGCTAACGTTGAACGTAAATCTATACAGTGCTCAATGGGTTTTTGTAAAGAATTAGCACCTTAGTCCTGTATTCATCCATCTAAAATCGGGATGAGGTTAATGATTGTTGTAGTGGCTTAGAAGAAAAAGAAATTTAGTTGTTTTTTATCTGATGGGTTTCAAGTTTAAACATGATACAAATGATATAATAAACAATGTAAAAAAACTTGTTTGAACGGTAGAGATGGTCTTTTATGCGGAAAGTTACTCACAATTTTAGTAGAGTATTCTAAAGTATGTTCTTGGCAAGAAACGCAGACGCCGGTATGGAGCTTCTTCGTTGGGTTTAAGTTTCTGAGAAAGTTTTTATTACTGTGCTTCAGATGACTTAAAAGAAGTTATTTTGTTGCATAGACAGAAAATAAAAATACACAGTCAAATTGTATAGATATAATATGTTCACCATCTTATTCAGTTGAGCCTAATGATGTGTTTGTATGTTTTAAACAAAAAGATATTTTTACTACAAAAATTATATGAAATTAAATCATTATTTCAATAAAACAATAATGGTACATGAATTTCCTCCACCAGAACATATTGTGCATTTAGAATATGTAAGGACTTATATGATGAAACGAGGAATATGAAATGGTACTATTGTTATTTTCTTCGTATTTTTTGAGACAAAAGATCGTATAAACATCTCATTAGATTGAAAAGTCGAAGATTCTAAATACTGCGCAGCTGTTATGTTCCAGTAAATATCAAACAAATACTTCATTTTAATCGCTGCTCAGGAATGTATCGCATGTTATGCTAATATAATATATTTTTCGTTCTTTCCTTGCTCTATCAATAGTATTCTATTACTCACTACCCGTATGCTTGGGACTTGTTCCAGGACCAAGTCGGACCGGACTGGGAACTTGGTCCGAAAAATTTATGGTTCCCGTTGATCCTGGTCCCAAATATTTCTATCAAAAATGGTCCGAAGTGGTTCTGGTTCCAAAAAGTATGATCCGTCCCAAAAATTGGCACTAGATCAGACCATACGGAGCCCTGCTCATCACTCTTATGTATCTATATTTTGTATCTTTTGCTAAGTTAACATTTGAAAAGCGTGTATTGTTGAGGAGAGGTAGACAAGAATACCGAATAAATCTTGCGTTATAGATCCTGCTCAAACAGGGAGCAGCTCTTAGAGGAGCAGGCAGAACGATTAGCATTTAAGTCTAAAAATCACACTTTTCGACCGCTCTATTAATTGAGTTAAGACTATACTTGGTTCTCATACCCAACCAGCTGTTCGAGGGGTACTCACCGAGGATTTGAGCCCTCTGTGAGGGCCTGTTTTCAAGTACTCACCGTGAACCTTACTTGGAAGCCTAGTTTTGCATACGCTTACATCCCCCGATGTTCTCTATCCAACAGTGAAAACCGCATGTCTCTAGCTATTTCCCTCCAAAAGTTATAAGCAATCTACCCAGTCGCCTTTCTTTTTTAAAACGGTAATAAATTAAATTAACTTTAAAGGTTTTGCACGATGGAAATCATATTATATTACAGCATTATTTTAAATCACGTCTAATCTAACAGAGCAACGATCGAATACGCGTGGCGCTCAACGTTAGAAATAATGTGTTTTCACGTTGATGCTAGCGTCAAATTTACTTACTCGCAGAAGAATGCGGTGTGTATTTTATTGGTTGATTTTGCATCTTGTAGAAAAATGCTTACAACTTTATAGTGCGAACGCAATTTTATGTTTCATATCAGTTTCGAAAGATTCATATCGGTTTCGAAGGAAACTTCTAAAAGAGAGGATCCTGCTTAGCATTAGTTAGGATATCGTTTTAAGTGCATATTTAACTGTGTACTTTTTTTCACGTTTCCTAATAAAGTGAACTGTCAGAGTGAGCGCTTCTTTTTCATATGAGATACACCTGACTTCTTTTTCGTATGAGATACACCTGAACGCTGTCTTATTTCTCCGCCAGATAATAGAATATAGAAGGGGGCACTAAAAAAGTTTTTTCGTCTTTAGACAAATATTATAAGACTGGCTCTACTGTAATTTTTCGAAGTACTGTCCGTCAGCACTAATGTACTTGTGCATTCGAGTNCCTCCCCCTCCCCCCCACAAAACACAACCCCCCCGGCGGGGGGGGCGCGCCGCCCGTATGAAATGAGGAAGAAAAAGAGAGGGCGAAAAAAGCTCTACGTATTGATATAATCGTCTGAACGGAGCTATTATTTCTTTGCCTATTACTACCAGTTTAATTAATATTACTACCAGGGCTTCTTGTTGAAGTACATGCAGATGTCTAGCGGTTTCATAAAATGCAGCTGTTATATTTGTTGTACAATAACAAAGTCTCCTGGCATCTTTTAATTGGAAACTGCGTACAAAAAAAAGGGTTGAAAAAAGGAACATAATATATTTTCGCGTTAATTCAATTTATATTTAAATTTATATTCTTAAAAAGCTCTTATTACCATTATAATGAGCTTAATTCCAATTTGTTGTTTTTACCATTGTTGTAGCCTTAAACTAAAATATATTTTTTAAGTTATTCTCGTATATTCGTACTTTATATATTTTATACGACGATTCACTTTGAACGATCTGACTATTACTACCATTGACAAACATCTGAACACTGGAATTATGATAAATAATAATAGTACATTGCCTACTATTGGTATGTATTTGAATATTTTCATTTTCTTAATAAGATCCAAAAGGGTATTCAATAGAGCTATTCGATACTTTTTATTCCTAACTATCGCTGATATGTCTTTTTTTTTCAGTTCATTTTGTTCATAATCGTTCAATCGAGAATGATGATATGATTGATGTTCAGTTTTCATCTGTTGGTGCTCAACGTCGAAATGCTGTAATTAAAACAGCAAATTTAACTTATGAAGGAGAACAAAACAATGATTTATGCGGAAAACTTGGTTTTGTCGATGATAAAGGTCGTATACATTTATCTGATTTTGATTTCTTTGTTATGAGACCAAAATTGGATGACTTTAATCTCATTAGTAATGACGCCACTACTGACAAATCATCTGATAATACAATAAATGTAAGATTTTTAATATTAATAAATAAATAAAAAGTAATTATATATTTTTTTGAATTAGAGAGGAAGTCTAGATGTACAATTTGGTACTGAGAAAAAACGTCGCTTAGTTCATTCTAAACAACGTAATGAAATTCAATCAAACGTATTAGAATCAGCTGTGTCGTCTGCACGAGAACAAGTATTATCAACAATAAATGCTGCTGCAGATACGAGTTCGTTTGAACATCAAATGTCATCATGTTCAGTATCGGATGAAGCACAAACCTTGCCTGTGCCAAATCGTGAAGCAAAAACACCAGCCGAAGTATTTCGATTAGATGACAGTATCCTTTCTTTTTTGATATATTTGTATTTTTTGTTTGTCTGTTTTGTTATATATTCTTAACTAGTGTTTAGTAATCACTGATGATGATATTTCAGCTCTAAACGATAAATGTAATAGTATAGTTGATGCAACAAAAGATGATATTCAAGCTTGGTCCAAAGAAGGAAGGTTAGTTCTCACCTAATAAAACTTTTCATATTTGTATTTATTGTATTCTATTTTAGATATGCACTATTTGTGTGTGATCAAATGAAAAAATTACCTAGCGACCATACTGAACGTATAAGAAAGGCTTGTTTAATATTATATTTACATTATCTCATTCAATTGTATAAACGATCCACTTTCAAACGTCTTTCTGGAAGTATGCATTGCGCAAAAATAGACAATACAAATTGTATAATAGTTTGAATTTCTAGAGCCATTTCCAGAGGATGCACCAAGACAGTTGCAAGACAAAGCGTTACAAATGTACACAATTCCAAATATTAACGAGAAGACGAAAAAGCCCGAAAAGTAAATAAAGGATAAATTTTTTGCTTGAAAAATACTTTACTCAGAAGAGTTATCTAGTCTTAAAACCGACAGTTGATAAAAGGTTTTCTTTGTATACTTTAGTTGTCCATGAATAGTTAGATCGTCCGTTTTTCATTTTTTTTTCTGTTGATATTGTTTGAAAATGTTTGCTTTTTTAGTACTGTTCCACCTCGTCTTCGTTTAATATTAACAGCTCACATTTGTATATTAACATTGTACATCTGTCGATTTATTGTTGATATAGAAAGCTTAAGATTGTCATTAGGCATACAATTACAAAAGTATATACGTCTCTCTTTTTCATCCTATTTTGATCATCTTTACTATTTATTATTTGTTTTTTTCCTTTTTTTTTTCTTACAGAATGCAAGATCTTTACAGTGTACTTGGTTGCAAGTTGATGAAAGTTGCTCAAACGAGTGTTGCTGTACTTGAAATACCATTGCCAGAATTAAAAGATCAAACAGAAAGAACGAATGGCTCAAGAAAACGTAAACGAACGTAGCTGTTGTTGTTGTTATTGTTTGTTTTCGTATTGTTCAATATTTGGTTAACTAAAATATATTTTGCTACCGATGTCTTTTATTTTTGTCTTTAAATTTGTGCGTCTAGTCGTTTAACATCTAGCTGTAATTGTAGTTCTTGCATTTTTAGATAAAACCATTTCCTTAATAGTATTTTATCAAAAAGTATTATGATTGATGTTAAACTAGTTCGTGAAATTCTTCGACAACAAAGTGATCCAACGTAAACTTTCTCCTTTATAATATAAAATCAAATATACATATTTTCTTTTTTCTTTAGAGAGTTGACAACGCGTCAGATACGCGATTTATATTGCGCAAAATCTGGACAAACAGTTGAACGACATTCAACAGAAGATAATCAGTTAAAAGAAATTGTTATGAAAATGGTCGAAGAAATTCAGGTGAGAAAGATTGCTATAAGATCGTTCGACTAACTGTATTCTTGTTATGTTATTTCTCAATAGAAAGACAAATCCCTCCAAAAAGAAGAAAGTGACGATGAAGATAATATGCCATTAATTTCTTATATTAAACTTAAACCAAATAATGATGATACGACACGAACAAAGAAAAAATCATCAAGCAATATAAAAGTTTCAAAAGTGAATAATGTAAGTGAAGAAGAGATAATGATGAAATGAGTAATTCAAGTTTGAAACTGTAGCCTAAGTTATGAAAATATATTGCCAACTGGTCAAATTTCAAAAAAACAATTACTATTGTTTTTGCGAAATATGTAAAGTCGTGGAATATCATACAATTGAATAATAAAACGTTCAATATCCTTTGGTAAACGAATATAATGCAATAACTGTTGAACAACAAACAAGAATATTGAATGCAATAATCAAAGATATTTTATCAAATCAAATTACATCAAATAGAAAATTAAATTTTAATGATAAAAATGTTCAATCCATAATGGCAAAGATCAATGAGTGAAATATCGATATTTAAATACCAGAACGAAATTGATTCAACGGCTGTACTAGTACTCATTTTTTGTTATAAAACATGGTAAAAAGAAGTAAACAACTAAACCAAAAACACCAGCACAGCGAAGCAGTGATAATGATGGCACATTTTTAATTACTTAGTTAATTCTCCAAAGGTATTGGTGCATGACATCACTTATCCAGAATTAATGGAAAATCATAAATTTTAGCTATAATCTTGTATTTAATATTTTCATCTTTCATTTGTTTTATCTTCTATTTATCCATGAACTTAAGTTATTATGTTTTCTATTTAACTTAATATTCGAATATTTTTTTTTTCTTTTATTTAGTCTAAGAAAGAAAAAAAGAACGTAGTTAAAAAAGAAAAGAAGAAGAATGTGGACGAAAGCAATAACCAAATTGATCATTTAAAAAAATTATTACGTGCATCGGGTATTCGTCTGATTGTTAAAAATGCTGAATTAGAACAGTATGTATCAAAAGAAGAAAAAACAGAATATTTAAAATCATTATTTGAAAAAGCTGGTTATACAGGTTTGTTATATTAAGATCAATTCGTATATTTCTCATTATGATATTATTCTATTTTGAACAGGTGGTCTTACTATAAAAGAATGTCAACGTTATAAAGAACAACGTGACCGTGAAAAAGAATTGGCAGATATTTCCGCAGGTACAACAGAAAATATTCAAGGTAAAGACATGGATAGATGTACAAAAAAATATTAGCATACATTTAGGCACGCTGTACTGGAACTTTTACTTAATTTCTTTGTAGGGTATGTTAAAGCGGGTCGTACATTGCGCAGACGTAATAGTTCGACTCCATCGCCACCTGTTTCTTTTTCAACGAAAAGAAAACGATTATTGACTGATCAAGATAGTGAAGATGATGATTCCAACAGTTATGAAAAGAAAAGTAAACTCGAAGAAACTGACATTAATAAATCACAAAATGAATTAGAGAACGTTCAACAAGGCAGAGTTGCTCAAAGTGACGACGACGATGAACCAGTTTCATAAATAAGTTTAGGTTTATTTGACACTTTATTCATTCTGATTTTTACGTTCTACTTTTGATACATCTATTTTTGTCTATGCGTGTGATGGTGATTAAAGTTAACTTTCAATTTTGTTTTGTATATTTATGTCATATTTTGTTTTTACATCGTTTAATAATTGTAGATCTGTATCAGATCATAAATCACTATTTTGATCGTTTTTATCTCTTGTACAAATTGACCTACTGTCTGTCCACTTGAAAATGGATTCGGCCATACTCAAGAACGAGAAGTGATAAAGAGTTTGGGTTTTGGGATTTCGCCATTCAAAAGAAGAGATTTTAGAGCATCTTTTGTGAGAGACATTAATTCAAAAAAATTACTTTTTAAGATAGGCCTTCTAGGAGTTCTTTGAAAAACTTCATGTATGAATATTTCCGTTTTTTCATGGATAGATAGCCAAAAGTAAGAAATGGGGAGCAAGCGAGATCTTGATTTTCAAAGCTTCGTGGCAAGTATCACATTTCCTTGGAGCTTAAGGAGTGGCGGTACTACGTGGTTTGACGTAATCTTGGAATCACATGGAATGTACATAACTGACCACGCTGAATCTAGTGGCAATGGTTGTTTTTAGACAAGAACTCAAAAACTTGGTAAAAATCGAGATTTACGAAAGCTTAAGGTTTCTAGACTGTTTTTATCTAATATTGAAAAATTCACAGTTCACTCAAAAAACACCAAACAAGTTGAAAGCTTCATGATCCAGTAACCCTTCGACGATGAAGTGGGGTCCAACTGGACCTACTTGACAGTTTTGCATCTAATACAGCATTACCATTTAGTGTTTCAAATCAATCCTATTCTGTAATCTCTAGTCTTGAGTAGCTGCATAATATACACACAAGAAATTATGTTTAAATCTAAACAGGAAAAAATGTAGGTACAACAACCACGGTGTTATAGACATAATTTTTTCTATAGAAAAAGCATAACAACAGCAGCAGTGTGAATCATTTTACTTTATTTTAAATTCCGACGTTTCGATTCATTAAAAAATCATTGTATATTCTTTAGCTTATTCTATTCTCGAAAGTCTCGATGTCAATATTCATTCGAATCGGGCAAAGAGAAGATGTTATTTGTTATAAGATATTATCGAGTACCGTCACAGTGATAACTTGTCAAACGTGTGGAGAAAAAAAACAAAAAGACTGAGTTTACAAAAGAAAGTCAAACACAAACAACATCAATATTGTGTCAGAAAAACAACTTTTCACTGTTTTTGATTATAAAAAAGAAAAATAAGAAAGATGATGAATAAAGAAGAGAATTTCTAGTTCCCTTATTTATAGAAAATTGTATCTGTGCACATGTCAATGTATATCTAACATTCTAGGAGACTAACGTCACTGAGTACACTTCTTTCGGGTTTTTATTTGAATATCGTTATAAAACACTTTCATACAAGTTTTTTTCCCGTATTGTTTATATTAATACAGTTTCCATAGAAGCTGATGTGTAAACGCCCATAAGAAGAATATGTAAAGGCTTCTAGTACATAAATGGATTGCTTAAATAAAACAAAAGTACTGATTTTCCCAAACTTTCTTTATATGGGTCCAGGCGGACCCTACAACACCGATGAAGTTATAAAATGAGAACATCGTCGAAGGGTTAAGAGCATGCTGTCTACTATCAAATAGCGAAATGATCAAATTTTTAGAACTTTGTATTTAGTCATCATAGAAGATCTTCTAAGAGCTATCGACTTTCAGTCAAAATCCTTGGAAAACTTTTTGGTTTGAGAGCTCTTCCAAAACAAAAACTGTTGTTAAATAGCTAAAAGTGGACTCTGCCGAGCGAGCTTGTTTAAAAGATTAAATGATAACAGAGAATATTTTTAATTGCAATATTTTCGAAGGCCCTCTGGTCAAAAGCTAAGTTTTCCAGAAGTCCATTGCGGAAGTAAGAACCAAGGCAGATTGATATCGCCCTTGGAATCAGCATGTCTGGAAGCCTCCAGGTTTGAGATTCTGCCTGAAACCTTCATTTCAGTAGGCTGTATTTCAATTTCTCTTGTATAAGCAAGACGCTCATTGCAGCATTACTCTTGCACAGTTAAATTATGAGCCCAAACACATTGTTTTTCACAATACACGCTCGATAGTATATAAGTCTGTCAGAATGGAGAATGGAAAAAACTGTCAAAAGTGGTTTGGAATGGTACGGAATGACCCATTCCACCCCATTCCATACCATTCCACTTTCCCCCCCCCCTCCTAGTTAATTGTCTTCTTAAATATTGAACAGTTATCGTTTTTTTGGTCAATAAATGATTATTTTAGGATGTGTTCGTATTGCCGTCTGTATCATATTTGTCCTCTTTTTTGATAAAACAAACGTTAATCAAAAGAAATACCATTTACTCAAATTCAAGTGAGCATCTTTTTGTTGATATTCAGTGATTGTACGAAATGTTTTGTTCTATGATATTTTTTTATTCCATTGAAATGGTTTTAGTATAAAGACAAGCTGTACCTTTATTTTTGTATACTTTCTCTATTTTAGTTTTGCAATTTGAACAATGTCGGTAATTTTGATTTTATTTTTTACTATGAAGAATGTTACGAAGCTGAACGTTCGGGTGCGAAAAGTTTAACTTCTCATCTTTTTAAACTTGATTATTTTACTCTTAATAGTCTCTAGTGGTTATGGCGCTTCGGTCTACTTTTTCTTTCGATCTTATCTCTAAAAGTGAAAAAACACTATTTTTTACAATGTTTCACTTAAAAAGTCTATGTCATTGGAAAAACTTTCAAACTTTTTAAAGCTACTGTGTAGTGCTTTTATCTTTCCACATACAACGACTTTCAGACACATTTGGTATAGGAAGAGCGTACGCAGAAAGAAAAGAAAAAATGAACTTGCAGGCGAAATGGGTCACTTTTAGCCAAAAATGAGCTGTTTCATCTAGTACAGGTTTTCACCTCATTCTTCCATTTTGTTTTGATAACTAACGTTGCCACAAGATTCAGCGTGGTCGATGACCTATGCATGAATGCATTTCTGAAGGTCCTAGAACGAAGAATAGAGTTACTTGAATTACTGGAAACATAACAGTCTGCCATATATGTTGGCGCCGATAATAATAAGCCTCGTAGAAACCCGATACTCCGAAAAATTCGCAGGTCGTGTTGTAAGATTCTATTGTGTAAGACGAACTATCTTATTTGTCTTTTCCTAAACAATTAAATTAAAATTATTGAGCACCCGCCCCCGCAACTGCGACAGCCCTGACTACTCTTCCGCGAGATATTTAGAATCAAAATTTAAGTATTGTTCAGCACAGATGCACTTCCAAAGATGATGATTTATACATGCCGTTCTGACAGTAGTAGATAGTAAAACATTCAGTATAAAATACGGGCGCTTGGCTACTTGTCGTTACAGAGAAAATCCTCTGATACTGTAAGGAGGTTTTCGCCCAAAACTGGAACAGTCAGCCTTGATGCAGCGACCTTATCTTAAAAACTGATAAAGCACATTTTCGAGATCATAAATCCTTCACAGCACGTGAAGAATGACCTTTCCGATTTTGAGAACAGTCAACGAAAATAAGAATGTTTTACACATACAAAATCTATCTGACAACTGCGACTAGCGGAATATACATCAATACGTGAACTTGTCCATCACAGTTATTATATTTAGTTATAATGTTCATCGATATCGATTTGTTTATCCGAAACATTCAATAAGTCACGCCCACCATGTTCGTCATCTTCACAAGCTAAAAATTTTTCAGTTTTTGAAAAAGCTGGACGTTGATAATATAAATAATTGGCAATTTCATTAACTGTTTCATCTGCTGGTGGAAATAATTTCTCACGTAATTTATTTTTTATTAACAAATATCATAGTGTCATTTACTTGTATTGTACATAAATTTCTTAAAAAGTGTTGACCAAGTAAACAATAGTCACGTTTTTTGGTATTTATCATTGATGGAAAATGTTTTTCAAAATCTGTTAAGAATTGTTATGTTTTCAGTAGCGTTTCCTTGTCTGGTTTAGACAACAGTACTCCATCTGTTTCCATTAAAATTGTGATAGATTCCCTATCTAATGAAAAACGTACATATGGTAGATCAAATTCTAATGGCTTTATATCGATATGTAAACGACATTTAATTGCAGCCGACGGTGAATCGTTTTGTTCTATTGGTTTTATATGTAAAGTTGTATCTGTTAATAATTCAACACCATAAGCTGTTCCAATCGTCCACATATATTGATCGTATGGAAAGTTTCTCATTAAATGATTAATATCAAAATTTTTGTCTGATGTCATCGGTAGTGGAAACAATGATGAATTTGAACCACTATCAATTCAAACACATTCAATTTGAACACCACCAGATACATTATCACAACTTGGTATTAGAAAACGGTCACGATAATTTCTTACCGCAAAGCCTTCAACATTTTTGTTGGTTAAATATATATTTAAGCGAAGATTAGAACCCGTAACTGTTGTACTACTAGTCATCATGCTAGTGTGTTGATAATTACAACGAAATTCTTCTGAAATAAACAAAAAAACAGTCTTCAAATAGCATCAATATACATATTGCCCAAGAAAATTCAATCATAATGAGCAAGCAGCATAACACACATTATTCAGTCTATTTATTACATTACAATGTGACAAAACCCAACGTACGGCGTTCAGTTAATGATAGGAAATTCTATCTCTAGTACGGGATAATGAAACAAAAAAAATTGATAAACAGATGGTCATGTTGACAATAATATACAGTAGAGTTGTCAATACAGATTCGAAGTACAGATATTTGAGAAGCTAATGATAATTTGTCGTCTCCAGCCAAAAAACAAAAGCTTTTAGCTGGAAAACGAAAAGAAAATGTTTAGGCATAAGTCGCGTTCGGGTCGGGTACGCTTACAAAGTTCTCGGTACGGGTGGAAGAAAATTCGGGTCGGGTACGAAAACCATACCGTGCACATCTCTACGATGAACGAACTCCCGCAGAAAAACTTGTCCATGCAGATTCCTAATAAAAAGTTATTATAAACATTCCATAAACAAGCCTGTTATAAGAATATAAAAACTATTTAGGATTTTATGAGGGATAATTGGTAAAGAAAATAAGCGAAAAACAAAGTACTATTTTTCCATGAGTAACTCAAGGACGATAAAAGATAGAGACTTGCGGTTTTCGGTAATCGAAAGGGGACAGTTAAGTCTATATTTTCATAGATCGAAGCGTTTTCTAAACAAATTTTTGAAACCGGTTTTTCGGAGAATCTGTGGAAAATCAGTTTCTTAGTCAACAGTTTTGCGCAGCAATCTATCGATTATTGCCATAGGTAGGTAGTTCAAAGTACCCTCTACAAAATAATACCCAAGCAAAGGTTTCATTTTGCTTGGTTTGGGAGCTTCGGACGTTTTTTCAGAAGCCCTAGAACTTCTCTATTCTTCGTCCTGTGACTTTCGGAAATGCTTGAATACGTAGGTTATCGACAATGCTGGATCACGTGGCAATGTTAGAGTTCAGAACAAAATGCAAGAACCGTGTGAAAATCTATACTAGGTTAAATAACCCATTTCTGGCTATTTCATCAAAAGTATACCAACCATTGCCAACGATAACTCACTACGGTTACGTTTTGAAAAAAGTTGTTCTCTGTGAAATTCTGCAGGGTATAAGCAGAACAGTTTTTCTTTTCTAAAGACAAAAATTCTAGAATTCAACGCTTTAAACTTGCAGGCGAAATGGGTCACTTTTAGCCAAAAATGAGCTGTTTCATCTAGTACAGGTTTTCACCTCATTCTTCCATTTTGTTTTGATAACTAACGTTGCCACAAGATTCAGCGTGGTCGATGACCTATGCATGAATGCATTTCTGAAGTTCCAGAACGAAGCATTGAGAAGTTCCAGGGCATCGGGGAAAATGTCCAAAAGCTTTCGAACCAAGCAAAGTGGAACTTTTATTTAGATTTCATTTTTTAGATTTTTAGATTTTGCATCAATACTGAGCGTCTGTAGCGAACTTTTCTGTTGTAGTTCGACTCACATTTGAGGATCGTTTCAATTAAAACAATTACTTTTCTATTTATACAGTCTTGATATCTATATTCTACGTAAATCTTCGTGTTCTTTATTTTTCTCGTCAATGTCCAGACACTACTATATCTATCTAGAACACGGCTGACATATTAATAGAACAAAAATTAATAATGAAATATCTCTCTCTCTCCACGTGTTAACTGCCATACTACAACAAAAAAGTTCGCTACAGACGCACAGTATTTCGACAATTGTGCTATATGGGTGCATTTTTGAAAAGCTCATTTGTAACTTATTTTGAAGCCTAGAAAATCCTCTATCTTTCTGTATATAAAATGTTCCGGGTCTGAGGAGATGAGTTCAAGAAATATTCCTTTAGGGCATTAAGATAGGTGAAAATTATGATATCTGCCTAGTATATCGACAATTGTCCTGTATGGACATATTTTTGAAAACCTCGTTTATAGCTTATTTTGAAGCCCAGAAAATTCTCTATTTTACTATGTATGCGCTTTGCCCATATAGCACAATTGTCGAAATACTGTGCGTCTGTAGCGAACTTTTTTGTTGTAGTATGGCAGTTAACACGTGGAGAGAGAGATATTTCATTATTAATTTTTGTTCTATTAATATGTCAGCCGTGTTCTAGATAGATATAGTAGTGTCTGGACATTGACGAGAAAAATAAAGAACACGAAGATTTACGTAGAATATAGATATCAAGACTGTATAAATAGAAAAGTAATTGTTTTAATTGAAACGATCCTCAAATGTGAGTCATACTACAACAGAAAAGTTCTCTACAGACGCACAGTATTGATGCAAAATTTAAAAATAGTTAAACTTTCGAACCAAGCAAACCTATGCATCATCTTTACTCTCATTATTCACTTTTGACAGCCATATTACTGACCGACCATATTTTCTTTGTTCATGTCAATTATTACTTTTAAGTTAACTAAGAAGTCTTCAAGTCTAACTCTTGGATTTGCTCGAAGCATATCGTGAATATTAAAGTATTCGATCGTATAATCATGATTATACGATCGAAAAAATTGAAAAACTATGTTTTTGATCCAAACTATTTTAGAAAGCTCTTGAGAAAATCATAAGGTTCTATGAAGTTGTTTTGTAGGTTTTTGTGAATAGGATGCAGAATAGTCTAGATACCCCATATTCTCAAGTTTTCAGCTCGCTTTGTTTTTGCGTGAACTGTGATTTTTTTGAATATTAGACTCCCACATCGAAGAGCATACTTTTCGCTATCTATCCACGATACAACAAAAATATTCGTACTTGAAGTTTTTGAGCTATGGCATAGTTTTTCAAAAACCTCCTAGAAGGCCTATCTTAAAAAGTAATTTTTCTGAATTAATGGCTCTCACAAAAGATGCTCTAAAATCTCTTCTCTTGAATGGTTAAAACTCAAACTCTTTATCACTTTTCGTTCTTGAGTTATTCAAAACGAGCGCATGAAATGTATTTTTTTGATCGAAAACAGAACAATAAAATTAAGTTGTTTATTTTGATTTTATTATGTATGCAAAGAGAAAGATAAATTTAAAACTAGATTACAACGTGTTTCTTCATTTTTTATAATTACTTCCGCTGTTTAACATAATAATAATAACAGACAAAAACAACGCGAATCTGCTGCTATGGTATATTAATCAAATAGCTTTATATCATTTCCTAACAATATTTTATTAAGTAATTTCATTTCCAAGCAAATGACTAGGAATGTTGTTTATGTTCGAAAAATATTATTATCAGATGATGATATTCGATATGCCTAATATACAAGACAGTATAAGAAAATTCTGTTAACATGACAATGAAAGTTCATAATAGAAAAGTTGTTTGCTGTTACACAAAATGAGTGAACAAATAGATGAAGCGTATATCCCACATTTTTATTTATTTATTTATGTTTATTGTGAATACGTGTGTAATATCGATATTGTTTTCTTGGATGACATAGTCAGTTAACCTCAACGTTGATAATGCGGTAATGATGTTTTGGACAGAAAATTAATAAAGATTTATCGTAAGCTGTTTCGATACTTCTACAGATCGACCACCTCCCCACCACTACCATCACTCACCCTCACCGCCACCGCCGCTCACTTTTACCACTAGGGAGATGGTCGATCTGTAGAAGAACCACTGTTTCTAAAATATGGCGGAATATGTTGTACTTTGCTAATAATGCGTCATTCTGTACGTTATAGCAATGTGATTTCATCTAATGTGTACAGTAATCTCGTTATGTAACGGGTGCGACAGAATAAATAAGTGTCTCGAAATATCTTGAATAACTTCTTCATTTTTCATTTTCTAGACTTGAAGTTTTTACCAAAAGATCCACCATTCAACTCTCTACAAGGCCCTATATCACAAGTTTTTCTGTTGAAAGTTAAGCGAAAAATTTAAAATGGAATACTCAACGTATATAAAAGAATAAACTTTCATAGTCATTTAATAATAACGAAATTTAGCATTTTCATCCAGTTCTTCAGACAATGAAACGAAATTTAAAATACTTTTGAGTACTTTAAAGTATGCTCTTTCTCGTAATGTGGCTCAAAGTTCAGTTAAATAATCAAATTGAAGATCTAAAAATCTGAGTTTCCAAAATTCTGTTAAAAACGACCAAAATCTAGTATTTTTCTCAACTGAATTTAAAAAAGAAACTTTTACAGTAAACTTTCACGCCTGAAACACTTTGTATAAAAAATAGTTACAGGGTATTTCTTACATAATCTCTCATTGATCATGAAGTACTTGAACAACCTATGCTAAAAAAATGGGTGTTAAGCAGATTTAAAAAACTTTTTTTCACTATATTGTGTACCTTACTCTCCTCTGTTCAATGCTACAAACCGATTATTCTAAGATTATTTCGTTTTAGAAATGCGAGGTTTTTTGCTATTAATATAGCTAAAATGAGTAGTCGTTAGCAAAAGTCTATTTTCCATCATGTGTCCAATGATTCCAAAGAAAAAAAATAAGCTGGTTAGATTCGTCGTGAGACAGGCTACATACGTCTCTCACAGACTATCGGTGACACAGGGTGGTAGATTTTAAAAGAAATCTAGCGAGGCCCATTGTTGATCAAAAAAATTGATATTTGATTAGAAGTCTGTTTGGCGTCAATTTTTTAGCAATTATCTGGACTCTTTCTAAGTAATACATCACCGAAACGAGTCAAACTAAGTGATAATTATTATTAACTATATTCATATAATCAAGACTGGTAATGACAAAGTATAATATTTGAACATAAGTTTGGAATGCTAATTAAAAGCAGATCATGTCATGTTTCCTAGACATCAATCAATTTTTTTAGTTTGTTTTGTTGGTTTATAAATTCCAACTAAGTGATTTATATGCTTGACACAAAAATATTTTCTTTCTCTGGGCTTGATCAGATCTTTAATTGATAGACATACTCTGTTGAAAATATTCATAGAATATCTTCGCCAAAATAACGCTATTATTACCGAGACAAGTCAAATATTGATACTATAAAAAATATGGCACGTGAATCACTCGAACATGTTGTAAAAGAACCGATACATCAAGTTGTTGAATCATTAGTATTACCTAACTGTAACTCAAAGTTAGAATCATGTCGAGAATCAATGCTATTGTCTATAACATCAATACAGAATCATTTTGAACCTGTGTACTTGAATGTTTACGATCTATTAGCTGAACATCAGCGTTTAAGTTTTGTTATGAATGTAAGATTAGCAGAGTTTAAATTTAATATATTTTCAGATGTCAATATAGGATAGTTTTAGTGTTGTGCGTGTCGAAGACTGGGTGCATATCACACGGGAGTCGAAATTTACGGAGTGGAAGTAATCTATAATCACATTTTTAAACATTGATGTTGAGTTTTTGATAATTTATTTTAGTATTATTTTGGAGATGGAATATGCAAATCACGTCCACGAAATCATTCTGCTCGATTGATTAATTCTATCATCGTTGGTACGTGGTAGACGCAAGATATAGTTAGAGATTTATGTTAAAATTTTATTCACTCATAGGAGAAACCATGTTAACAAAAGCAGAAATAGAAAAAATACTTCTAATCGATATGCGCAATAATTTTACTAGAAAACATTATGATTTATTGAAACGAAACTGTAATCATTTTACAAATGATTTTCTCCGTCGATTATTAGGTATTAATCTTCCACCATGGGTGAATCGATTTGAACGATGTGTAATAACAACGCCGGGCTGTACAAAATTTTTGTCAAAACTATTCGGCAAAGACTGGACAAAACCTACTTTGTAGTAAAGAGTCTTCCAAAGAAAAGTATTTTACTTGTTATCTGTTAGAACGTCTATTTACAGTTTCTTTATACATCAGTCATATATATATTGGTTTGACCATGTCAGATTGTTCGAATATTTGAATATAAGCATAAATTTTCATAAAGAATAAAACTAATTATTGAATGAGGTCCGAGTAGCATCCAGTTAGGTATAAGGCCCTTGTACAATCCTTATAAACCTTCGGCTCTAATACTTTTAATCAAAACATCATAGACACTTTTATATTTCTGATCATGAGCATTTTGAAACCGTGTTTTAATGACATCAACGGGCTTAGTTGCCACGGCACAAATAAATTCAGCAAAAAACGATGCAACACTATGTAATAGAATACCTTCCGACATGATACCATGATCGATTAGAAAATGTTTAAAATGATCATAAGAAGCTATTTGACTACTAGTTAAAACACCTGCTCGTATCACCGTTGGAAATCCTCCCTTATAAAACAGAGCTGTCCAATTAGCTATCCTCCCCCCCGACACCTCCACTTCGACACTTTGTGTCGAAGGTGAGGTATATGTTTGAAAAGATATGGATGGAATAAACACTTCGAAAAAAATATGCGGGCATCGAAAACCCAGCTGAAATACAGGAAAAATAGAGGATTCGCAAACATACCAGATACATCAAAACGTATTATGATCATCCATTGCATAACGAAATGGATTCCGAGCGAATACGACATAGCATGGCATGTTCCTATTTCGTGGAAATTTAAAATGTACAAGTATAAAGTAAAATTTCATGGAAAAAGTTTTCGCTTAGA